AACGACAACGACAACGACAACATCAACGACAACATCAACGACAACAACGACAACAACAACAACAACAACAACAACGACAACGACAACGACAACGACAACGACAACGACGATGACAATCACAACAACGGCAACGGCAATTGTCGGCGCAGTAGCCCTCGTAGCCGTAGAAGCGACGGATAGCGACGGTAGTGGCAGTAGAAGTCGCCGTCGTAGAACTTAGTAGAGGTTGCAGCAGCAGCAGCAGCAGCAGCAGGAGTAGTAGTAGTAGTCGTCGTCGTCGTCGTAGTAGGTGGTGGTAGTAGTAGTTGTAGCAGCAGTAGCAGTAGCAGGTACACACTGTGAAACCCCTGTTTTTCCACACATAAAGCTTCGCGATGTTTGGTGGGTTGTAGCTTGTAGCTTCCGCTTGGACTCATTTAAGATCTTCTGCGGGAAATGGAATACCTGACGCAGTGGCTCGACTCACTGGCTGCCTCCTGATCTGATGTTGCCCTCTTCCCTGCTCCACCAGTTGCCAGACAAATGCTACCTGTTGTATGGCAAGGGCGTTGCTACTACCAATCTGCAGCTGCGCACTTACGGTGCGGAAGCGGCACTCTCCCTCCGCCGCAGACTTGAACAACTTCAGCTGCCGCTTGGCCTGACTAACATGCTTTGCTGGTGGTGGATTGCACCACAGATGCCGCCTGCTTGACGGCTTGCGCAACGCCGCCCTCTGGCTCCTCAGCAAGCTTCCAGCCGATGTTGCAAGACTGTGTAGCACTCTAATCAATCATTGCGGGCTGCAGCCTGATGAGAATCTAAGAGAATCTAAGTGGAACCATGCTCCTCCAGTTCCGGTGGGCACGTTGGCAACACCTAGCAGCTAGCTGCCTCTGCACTTCTTCACATCACGACTCTTCTGAATCTCGATTTAGGCGGCAAAGCTGCGACATCCCCTCCAGCAAGATCGAGAACTGCTGGTGTTGCGAGGAGGGGTCGAAGGCCTCGGGATTCACGCTCGAGTGATGCCTTTTCCTTTACATCTCTGGGACACAAAGAAGCACATCGCCCAAGAACAGCACCGACATGTTCCATTACGGGCAGACGGTCATGTGGCTTACAATGCTGGACCCGTGGTCGTAAGTTCATGCATCCTGCTGACAAGCCCGGAGCTGTTTCATTACACACTATGCTCATGCCCCAAGGCGACGCGTTGACTCCTCAGCATACGCAATGGCTGGAGATCGGTTGAGGGATCTGGAGAGTAACTTCGAAAAGCATGGCAATGTACCTCAAGCTACTTCCTCAAGCTCATTCTTTGTCGCTTGGAGCCTCCGGAGCAGCACGTAAGAAACGGGGCCAGGCATTGCCGGGATGTCAGTGGATTAGCGAAAGTAATTCTCTTCTCACATCATGTGCTTCATTGTGCTTCCCTCGCGGAAACTACCACCAGTGGAGTTGCAACAAATACAAGAACCTCGGAGTACTTAGCTTAGCAGATCTTAGCACCTAGCGTCAAGCATTAGGATGTCTTCTGCCAGGCAGCCCTTTTAAAGCCTCGCGCATCAAGCTGGAAAGAGATTACACCAGAGACAACAGGCAAAGCTTTGTGTCTAGTTTGTGCTGGCTGTTGATTCGTCTGTTTTTGTGTCCACATGATGCAAAACTAAAGATGACGTCCAAAGTGTCTTCAGCAATCCTGCTAGGATCTTCTCTGCCGACATCTTCTTGCAGCTGCTCCCACCACTTCCTGTTCCACTCCCTACATCGCTTGTACTGTGACTGTTGCGGAACTTGTCTCTTGCACACGAAGTTGCCTAAGACGCAGTGCGATTGACCGCAATGGCTAGGGCCGTCGGATGAGAACTAGTCCGACCGACTGCATTCCCTGAGAAAGCATCAGCAGGTCCACAACAAGCGAGGGATACGAGCACGTGAACAACTCCAATTTGGAGGTCAGCTGCCCCCAAAACTAATGTTTTTGCCAGGAAAACTTCCCCTCTCAGCCCAGGACACATTTCTCACAGCCTGATCGTCCTTGCAATGCCGATGTAATGGCGTTGTCGGTGAAACACTGTTCTGCCTTTGGCAGTTTATGCCGGTGCCTGCACCTACCAGACTTCATGCAAGAGAGCTCATATGGCAGCTTCTTTGGGAGTTCTGTCCATAAGCTCTTCCTGGAACAACCTTTCAGTGAGCAAAGGTCCAGCCAGGCAAGGTTTGCACAAGCAAACAAGAAAGGCCTCTGCATTGTCCGAACAAGGTTAGGAGGCTCAACGTCTTGCCGACTCATGCGAATGAACTCCAGCTCCTGACAAAACAGACAAGCGCTTGAATGCATAACGCACACGCCCGTAAAAGATCTCCAGAAAAAGAAAGTAAGTCGTCTCCTGGCTTCGAACGACGGACTTCAACCTGCTGTCTTCACTCGGTGGCTTGGCTGCCTGGCAGAGGACCAGATGCCATTTTTCACGTCGCGCAATCTGCGTCTCATTTTCCTCTCCATTCCGAGTCCGGCACGTGCTGAAAGAGGTTGGCAGCTATTTGCTTCACTTTGCTTCTCCTGCCATGGAATATGTCGCGCTTGAGAAGGCCGAGCAAAGCACTTTGGCTTGAGCTGAGGAAAGAGCGATGCAATCTCACCAAACGTCGAACGCACCAGGGCTTCTGCCTCTTCGACAGACCTGTTGTCGCCAGCACCGGTTCCAAGGCAATACTAGCGCAAGTGCATGCAAGTGCCGACCAATTTCGACACTTAAGATTTGATTTGCCGCGTGCACAAAAAAGAGCTTCCAAGAGCCCTGGCCCTAGAGAATCCGCCCAAGTGTGGGGGGGGTCTGCTTGTTCCCGAGTCTCGCGTTTGCAAACACCGGAGCAATCCAGACCCGGCACCCAAAACACAATTCAGACCCCAAGAGATGCCCAACACCTGGATACAAATAGTACATGTGCGGCTTTCGGGCTCAATGCGGGAAATCAATGGCACTGATGAGTTTCGGTTCCGGCTGTCTCAAATTGTCTTGGCGAGTGATATATTTTTGGGTTGGGGTCTGTTGGGGGCATCCCGGCGATATTCTTGGCAATGTTTGCAGAATGACGGCTTCCGGAAACAAGAGCAGGGTGATTTCAGGACCCTGTTCCCCAGTGCAGACGTCGGGTAGGAGGGTTCCTGCAGGCTCTTGGACGCCGTTCTTGTGCTAAGGCAGGGCTGCAAACCCTGTTCCCAAAAATGAACCGACTGCTTGGGTTACCGGTGCCGTGCTCAGGCCAGGACACCTTGGTGTGACCCGATCCCACCCTCCTTTACCTTCTGTCATGGCACTAAGGCGGGGAATGCTTGCATCTGCTCAGCTCGCGCCACAGAAACCCTGAAGCCAAGAACTCCACACCCAGCAATTCTAAACCCTGCCACCCCAAATCAGCCCCGAAGCCAAGAACCCTGAAGCTAGGAACCCCAAACCAGAAACCCCAAAGCAAGAAACCACAAACCCAGAAAGCCCACATCCAGAAACCCCTGCATCGAAAGAACGCGAAAGCTGGCACAAACAAAGCTCGCCCGAGCATGCCATCCCATTTCGGCCACAACCCTAAACCCTAAACCAAGCTTTGGAGGACAACCCAAACCGTAGACCGGCGGTCAGTCATGGACGGGGGAGGGTTTGGGGTTCTTGGCTTCAGGGTTCTTGGCTTCGGGGCTTCTGATCTGGGGTTGTTGGGTTTAGAATTTCTGGGTGTGGGGTTCTTGGCTTCAGGGTTTCTGGGTTTGGGGTGGCTGGGTTGAGAATTTCTGGGTTTGGATTGCTCCAGGCAGCACCTCAGACCCTCTGGCAAATTGTTCTGCAGAGCGGGGTCTGAAGCCCCCACCCCCACTTGAGGGGATCCTCGAGAACATGGCCCTACAGCCCCCTATCGGCCCATGTCGCTTCTCTTTTTGTGCCCCGCCCATTCGTTCCTTCCCCGGAAGGGGACGGATTTGGTGGCACGTGGGCATGTGCCGCTTGTTGCTCGCGAAGCGTGCCGCAATGAAAACATCGGACCAGGTGGCCTCGAATGAAAAATTGAGCATCTGTTCCGTTGTCTCGAAAAGGCCTGATGGGCTGTCAGGTAAAGACCGACGCCCAAGTTCCCATTTCGACCTGGTGCCTTGCAGGTGAGGGCATGCTGCATCATGGTGTGGTTCCTTTCGCCCTTCTCTTAACTGCACACGCAGTCCTGAAGGACCCGGAACCTTCCCCAGCCTAGCGGTGATTTCCGCAGGTTGCTTCCAAAACACCGATGCTTTATGATGCTGTTCACAAACACTTCGAAGCAACTTTGCTCGACTGTGGCACGCTCGAACTGATCGCCTTGGCATCGATGAGCTTGCCATTGATGGGATGACCTGCTTCGAGATTCTGCGGAGCAGTGACGATGCCAACAAGTCAAGCGACAGTCAACCCTGCAGATGTGAATCTACGATTCGTGAGCTGCACGACAGCATTGCCCTACAAACTCCGCTCCGCACGAGAGCCTTTTAAATCCAAGGGCATGATGCCAACAAATATATACCAAATGGTAGAGACACCGAAAAATCGTCACTTCGATGTGAAAGTGAAAGCACTCGCCAGATGCCGCGTTTTCCCCTCGGCATCTTGCCCAGCTCGCAGCAACTCCAAGGAACCGACTTTTTCTTGATTGTTGGCCTTACTGGCTCCATATCAATAGCATCCGCAGAAATGACCTGTTCTCTGAGTTCTCAGCAAATCGTGATCTATGCTGAGGCGCAGACTTCAAGTTGGGCAGCGTGCCTCGTGCAGGCCACTACGGGTGGGGCAGGCCGCAACCATGCTCAAACTCTCAGCACAACAACAAATGATCAAATAATGGCATGCGTAAGGGCATGCAAGCGCAGAATCATTGAAAAAGTACTCTGGTGTGCCACAGTGCAGCATAAGCCCCATGCCCCAAGGCATGCCCTCCATGCACTCCTGGTGCCTGCAAAGCACACACTTGCACGCACGCCTTCACTTGCAACCTGAAGCAACATCTTGCCTGATTGGTCTCGAGGTGGCGATGCATCCACTCCGGCCTTCATCAAGGCAAGCCCCTCCCTTGACCTCCTCGTAATGCCTCGCTGGTCCGGGGCGCTGGCAAGCGCATTTCCCTGACAAGTCTGACCTTGGCCGGAGGATGCCTCAGTCGGTGTACTTCATGGAGGTTTCAGGACCTTACCTGTACAAGCGGGCACGATGAGCCCGACATATCACACTGCCACTTCCCAGTCCTTGCATCTCGTAAGTTGGACTCAAGATAAACTTTCAAAGGCTGTAATTATTCGTAGTTATTGGGTCAAACAACATCTTGGGGATCAATTTTGGCCTCGCTTCCACCGCAAAAAGTCCGCCGGTAAAACTGCCTGGTGCGCTGGGATCTGGCAGCTCGACCCGGGAGCAAATAGGAGGACTGCAGCTGACACACTATGCAAGACAAGCCGGAAGTCCAGCTTCGGCTGGCTTCAAACTTTGAGGGGGCTGCAGCACTACTGACGACCTCCCGGCCTGCAACTTTGGATCAGAGCTTCGTAGTGGCTCGTTTAGGCAATTAGAGCTCAGCATCACCGAGACCGGCAACTCCACGTGTGGGCAGAACAACGGCGGCCGGGCTTGTCAGTCGTGCGTTCGTGTCTTGTCGGTGTAGGCAAGCAGCCGAAGCGTCAGTGCCACACTCGGCCGCACTTCTAAAGAAAATTCAGAAACGTCCTAAGCCAAAAGCCAAAGCACCAAGCCCAGCTCCTGCGACTGCGACAGCCTTTCAATTGTCTCCTGCCTGCGGGACCCTGTCGCCTCATGCGAGAAAAAGAACAAAGTGCAACGCCAGCACTGTCACGCACGGTGGCATAAAACGCAAGTTAATCTTGCTAGTCCGTTTTGTCTTGGGTGGAAGTGATGCGAATCGACAGCTTCATTGTTGAACGCATGATCAGGGAGGTGCTGTGCTTACATCTGACGGGATATGGGAGGTCATCTGCCCATCCCGTTCAATTACACCTGTGACTCCAGAATTAGCTGAGATGCTTGAGACCAGAATTAACACATTCCATGCGGGTTCTGACAGTACCGTGTGGGGGGGGGGGGGGGGGGGNNGGGGGCGCATCTGCCTGGAGCCCAGTGTTCGCGGTGCAATGTTACGGGCTGTTGCTTGCTGTGCGTTTTGATGTTGAAGCTTCAGCCTCAGCCATATTTCGAACCACTCTCGCAGTTGTTCAGGCTGCGACACTCCCATGGGCAGCGGCAGAAGTCCGCTTTTAGTGGGTCGACACCTGTCGAGGCAGGAAGCACTACTTCATGCCTTCGCCATCGAATCCACGTCCTGGGTACCGCGCTTTTCCATCGCCTGCGCTGTCAGATCTGTGCGACTGAGTGCGGTAAATTAAAATGCTCCCGCGCCTTCAATACAGCAGCCTTGAACTTCTCAATGTCGTCCTTGAAACCTACAGAGTGTCAATAGCATCAAACTTCCGAATCCAATGGAACATAATTTCCGCCTGGATTGGACTTCTCCAGCACCTGCGAAAGCCAAAAGGAGACGTGCGTGGGCGAGGCTGCAACATGAGGCAAAGTAGGATAAAGCAACCTGCCGCTATGTGAGTCCACGTTCACTTGCTGCCCCACCATAAACTGCTCCATGACGTTAAGGCGGTGCTGCTGCACCGGCCCAACGCCTCAAAGCACGCCATGTGACTCAGAGTGGTTTGTAGCCCCACGTGGCGCACCATGGCATCATGAAGGGGAGTGAGCTCTCGGGCCTCTCGGGGCAACAGCGAGGCTACAACGACCAGATCGCTCACCCTTGTTGCTCCGCCTTGAGTGCCTTCGAGTTCTGAGTGCTGACACTTCAACGTGCCGGGGCACTGGCCGGTGCCAGCGTGTCGTCGCATCAGTTCCAATCTCAGCAACAACTAACTCTCAAAAAACAGAAGCAGGCCATGCTGCATGTAGGCCATGCGCAGTCCGGGAAGCCAAGAAAGTGACAGGCTTGTGACTTTCTGGAAGCGGAAAAAGTCAATGGTGATTCGGCGATTGTACACCTTCATAGCAGCAGCATCAAGAAGCACAAGTTTTCTGAGCAGAAGCTCACGCATGTTGTGGACATCACAAGACGCTCTTGCCTTGATCTTATCATAGTTCGACCAGAAGCGAAGTGAAGGCAAGGACCTCACTGAGCGAGCGCGTTGCTGGGGTTGGCTGGTGCCGTCTGGAGGCCCCAGCTGCTGCAATGATCTCTGCAAGTGCATACAGGGATTGATGAGCTGGCCTTGGAGCAAGCTCGTGCATGTCGTGCACATTACACGTGGTCCCAACGAGCCATCTGTGTGCCGCGCTATACCTGTAGCAGAGCTCGATGAAGTCTTGCATTCGGAACCTGACCAACTCGGGTTCATTGCGCGGCTGCTGAATACAAATGTGCTCGCCGGCACGATGCCAAGACGAGTGCTTTGCCAATGGCAACTTGGCGAAGTTGATCGAATTCGTGTTGAATGCATGAACAGGACCTTTGCGCCAGTCCCGAGTGATATGATAGTGCCCGGAAGATCTCATGAAATACTAGCCTGGATCTCTGAGCATGGCACAGGTGTAGTAGTCATCGTAGAACTCTTCCAGCTGACTGCTGGTAAGGTAGTGAACCTCAGTCCAAGGCTTGCAATATGTTGGATCGCTGAGTTCGCAATTATATTTTCTGTAGCACGGCTCCCTGCAACACTTCCCGGGATGAACTCTGCACCACGACACCCATCCAAAGGGCGACAGGCTTGTCACATGCTCTCATGGCCGGGGGTCTCACGTTCTGGCGTCCGTTTTGCACGTGCCATGGGGTCACGGTGTGTACTCTGCTAGTGCCCGCACAAGAACCAAGAAAGGGTCTAAGCCAAAGCTGCCAGGCCTTGTCTTTGGGCTTGGGCTCTAAGGACCCCATTCCGCTTCGTTCATGTTCATTGCCAGTTGGGGGGGGGGGGGGGGGGGNNGGGGGGGAGTACCGCTTTCTACGGACCTTGTTTAGGAGGAGGCACTGGCGCATTGAAGTTGAGCATTCACTTTCCTCGCTGATCGGGACCTCGTTTCACAACGTGCGCGGTCCGTACCTCGAGATCCGCTTTTTGAAGCCACTGCCAACCGGCATAGACCAAGAATGACAATGTGAAGTAGCGCCAGGTCTGATGAATTCACTGGTAGCATGTGCTCTTCAAAACTTCGTGCTTCGCAGCAGGATCACCTAACCTCAGCTAGGGCTCCAGCTGTCCAGCTTTTCATCTCTTTGCACACAACATAAAACATGACCTGCCAGAGAGAATAACCGGTGCATGTTAAACACACCGAAACCTGCAAAAAAAACGAAACAAGCCTGACATAGCTCGAGCTTGGAGAGGGCACAAAACCTCCATCGCCGGGCTTTCAACAAAAACGTCACCCCGTTCAGGAGCGTGCTCTGCTGGGACAGCAGCTGCATCGTGACATAGAGGAAGCCGTCCCATGTGACCTCAGGAAATCTGGAGTATTCCCGATATGTCTCCGTGTTGGATTCCGTTACTTGAAGTCTAGGGCAGCACTGTGTCCTTGTAGCCGGCCAGATCGAGTAGCAGTATCATGATCTTGGCGACCTTAGCCAGAGCACCAAGTCCATGTTCCGACTGCCACCCGACTGGCTTTGGCATCCGGCCCACTGTCGATGGTTCCTCGAGTCTGCACATACCGCGCATGCCTCGCAAATCCAGGTGCTGAGGCCCCCGACTTGACCAGTCTGGTCATGCTCGCGGTGCTAACCTGGGAGTCTCGAGCAAACCAAGGTTCTGGCACGGATCTGCCCAGAAAGCCCCGCACTTCATCAGGCCCAACCCGTAGGGTGATGGAGTCGAACCGTTTAAGCCTCCAACCAAAAAACAGCACCTCCTGTGCTCTTGCATATGTCGTTGGGGCGTGGCCGTTTGAAAGTCTTGAAGAACTGCATCACCCTGGCAGGCGGTACCAAAGCAAAACAGCCTCAGTCTCCGACGGCAACCTGAGCTTCCGGCAAGCGGGGTGTGATTTTCATGTCTTGCAACAGCTCCACCACCTGAATTTCAAGCCCAAGTGTTTGTCCCTGAGTGGTCTTGTATCGGATCGGCCTCAGAAGCAGGTTCTGGTGGCTTATCGAAGGAGAAGTTTCCCAAGCATGCCCTGGCAACTTGCTTTTCACCGGTTGCATCTCTGGACGGCCGGCTTGCCTGAACACTCTCAGAACCTTACTGGCGGTCGCGAGGAGAACTCCTTCCTCCTGGAAATGGCAATACGTGCACGTACGTGCACAGCAACCTCCCAGAACCGGGAAGACCCCCGGACCAGCAGGACCAGGACAACCCTTAGACCTTGGAGCCCCAAGCTTTAGACAGAATCTGACTTGCGCAACTGCCAAATTGGCTATGGATGTGTTTGTGCCTTCCATGCAACGCTCATGACGGAATCGGCAAGTTTATGTCAGGCGCACCTCATCATCTGTACTTCTTTTCGACTTCCCCATTTCCTCCTGTGATGACACGCAATCTCGCCCAAACTTCTATGCAATGCCTCAGCAACTCATAGAGGAAGCAGGAAGACTCCTAATCGGCCGTGGATGCCACTCTTCGATGGACCTCAAGGCACGATAAGTCGAAAAGGCCGGCTGAAGCTAAAGGGCAGCAGTGCAAACATGATTTGCACCTTATCGGCAGGTCATCTTCCGGACTGATCGGCCATCACCTGATGGTGCCACAAGTGCCGATGTGTCTTCTTCAGCTTCCTTGCTTATGTCCCTGGTTGCCTTTGCACCTCCAAGACGCACGGAAGGAGAGGTGCCCCACTTTTTGAGCCAGGACGAACAAACAGGAGAGATGACACATTCATATAGTAATATAGGGCTTATCCAGGGCTAGCATGCTTCCAGCACGGCACGGGACTTCTCCTTTTGCTGGGCTTCCTGGCAGTCCGGCTCCCATCGCCGCTTTGCGCGGCGCTCGCGGGTTCCTACCCTTTCGACTTCTTCATTCGCCGAGTAGGTACCAAGAGGAGACCGGACAAGCATCGCGGGCTTCTGGTCAGATTCCATAACATTCTGCTCCACACGAGGGCAAGCGAAGTCCGTGATGATGACTGCATGACCATCGTTGCTTGACAAGCTGTTGCCCCGAATGATGCAGGCAGATTTGTCTGCAGCCCTGATGGCCTGCCTTGTATGACCTCGAAACTTGTTTTCCTCGATTGTCGGGGATGCTTCACCACGCACATCGATTCCTGCAGCATGATTGTCGGTGAAGCTGTTCTGGCTGATACGGGCAGAAGAGGTACCATCCACATGAATCGCGGAACAACGGCATGCAGACAAGAAGTTCCCTTCAATCACAGGAGAGGCCTGCTCGCTGACCAGAATGCCGTAGCCTGCATTTCCCTCAATACGATTGTTCCGTATGGTGGCCTGCGCGGCGTCCCGGACAGCAATCACACAACGCCTCGTGCCCCTAGCAAGGCTTGCACCATTGAGTGTCCCACCCTCTCCGTCGTCGGCATGCCCTGCTCTCATGGGCTGTTGCAACTTGTACGGTATATTGGTTTGACCGGTCTTGTTTCGCAAGATCTTCCGCTGCTCATCAACATCGACCCACTCTTCGCCAGCCTCACCTGAAATATAGGCTAACTTGTGTGTAAGCTGATTCTGCGAGTCTTCGCGCTTGGACACAACCTTCGCACGAACCGTGCCAGAAGCAGAAGAAAACTCGATGACAGGGGCAGTCTTGCCGTTGTTCGTCAACGTGTTATCTTCCACTTGAACAGAGGCTGTGCCACTGATGAGCACGACAGCCCCGTCATTCTCTTGCATCACATTACCTCGAAGCCTGCCAGTTGCATTGTGCTGATAAGCGACTGCAGCCATTTTCTGGCCCCGCATCTCACAAGATTCTATGCTGGCACATGCTTGGCCCCGGACCAACACACCACACCCATTATTGAAACGAAACCCCGTGCGTTCCACCTGGACTTTCACAGTATCACGGAACTGCATGACCGGTGCCGCATTCCTTTGCAAAACACAATCAGACACTGCAACGGATGCCTGCTCTCTTGCGGAAATACAAACATTCAGGTTTCCCTCGAAGGTGCAGCTGTTGAACTTGACCTCTGTTTCGTCCCTGAGGATCAAAGCCGTGCGACGGCAGGAAACGAATGAGCACTCTTGCAAAGTAGCGGAGGATGTGCCCTTCACGGTAAATGGGTCTGACAGTGAAACTGTGCAGCACTTCAGCAGCACACTTCCACCCTCCACTTCCACTCCGCCTTCGCCCTCCAGGCGCAGATTCTGCAAGGACGCTTGTGCGGGACCCCGCAAGGCCACCCGAATTGGTTGCGACTGGAGGCCCTTAAATACCACCTTCGAGCCACCACATGAAGTGCACCTACCCATCAGCTCGACGGGTTTGTCAACTACAAAGCTCTCGTGGTAAGTCCCGGCAGAGATGAGGATAGTTGCTGGAGGCCACGAACCAAGTTTCTCCAAAGCTTCCGAAACTGTTGGGCAGTCCCGTGGCACACAAACAGCAAATCGCAAGCAGCCCCAAATCAAGCTCTGCAAATGCTGCCAGAAAAAGCTTCCACTTGGAGCGATTTTGGAGACGATCTCATTCACTGCTTGGCGACGCAGCCACTGCAGGAGTGGTTGAAAGTGAGCCACATCCATGGCAACATATGAAGACGGCGGCGACTGCTGCTTCTTGAAGCCAAGTCTCGTCGAGCTTGAATTTATGGGCGCGCTGCGCTAAGCAAGCGCACCTGGAAAGTAGAATCAATGAGTTTTCTGACAGGTCAAGAGATCATCGTGCAGTTTAGCGGGTGTAAGCTGCGGTGAGACGAAGAGGCAACATCTCATAAAACCCCGAGGCATCACTTCTGTTGCATCTCTATCATGGTGATGCACGTTGACAGCTTTGCCTGCACATACAATGCTGGCTCAAGTAGCAGCTCTTAAACACTACTGGGCCTCGTCTTGCCCTGCTTACAAATGCTGGCAAACGGAAGATCGGGAGCCTATGGGAGCCTTGTCTGCTACTTGTCCTATGGATGTATGGAAGTATCCAGGGAGCGGCCACGCGCCTCTAGTTCTGTCAAGAGCTTGCTGGACACGCTTCCTGCTGCCACAGCGGCATCCAGCCTAGGTTTCCAAGTGAGCCCAGAACCAGCTTCTCGGCACCATGGGGCACACTGAGTCCGTCGCGACGCCAGGGATGCTTGCAAACCCACGCCGCCTGGGGCTGTGCTTTGGCGGCTTTAGCTGTGTGGCATGGCGACTAGCGTGGAGTGAACATACCGACATGAGCGGCTCAAAAACTCGGTCGGTGTTTTGGGATTCTTGGATATATCTCGGTACAAGAAACCAAGAAACCACCCATCGATGCTAGCTGCTGGCAAAGCCTTGCGACTATGTGTGCCCACCGAATCGTGAAATGTGGAGTGCAGTCTTGCCCGGACGTGAGCTCGCAACTGCAAGCAACATGCCCGCAACATGCCTGAACAGCCTTCTGCATCGAGCTTCCACATGGGCGAAGATTGCACGAACTTTAGGAGTTGCCCTTTCGATGGAGCTTTCCCAGTCACTAACTACCTCAGGTGGAGCACGAGAGTGTATGTTGACAGTTTCCAAGTAGCGTAGTACCTTTGCAGCGGGAAGACTGAAAGTGAGAGCCGAGGCGGGGTGCATGCAAGCAGCGAAAGGTTTCACGGGTTCGGGCCGGTTAGCGCATGGTAGCACATTGCGCAGAGGCTCGAACGAACAAGCGAGACTGCTTTGAACAGCTGTTTTCGCACGGGTCTTCCCAGACCTGAGTCGCGTTTCGGAGCAAACCTGGACTCGAAATGATGACTTGGACCAAAGCCCCAAACTCCGCTAACGCGACAAACGGCAGCAAGCTGGTTATTCGAATCCCATGACCACCTTGTGACAGGCACCGTGTTGCAAGTAATTTAGGACCAGTGCAGGGTGTATGATCGGATCGTGTGCTCCGAGGCAGATACCCCGTCAGATACCACGCTAGACACCCGGCCAGAATCTCGAACTTTCGTCGTACTTCCGAACTCTGCAAATCTCGAAAGTTCGAGCTTGGAACTCGACGGACAGCGTGTGTCATCGTTTCAACTTTGGAAGGTGCCTCGGAGACCCTGGAGCCAGCAATAAGTCCCCGACAGATGTCTTCTGCAAGCCGACGCAATCCTTGCGCCCTCGCCTGCACAACAGAGCTCAGCATGCGTTTAATCGTGAAAGCCTAGATTCAAGGAGCAGTCAAGCTCCCATGCCCGGCAGTGTTTCCCGTGATGCTCTTTAACCGAGGACAAACTCATGACAATTCATGTCAAGCACTGCCACTTGTTCGCAAAATCCAGCACATGTTTGTAGGAAGCTTCTTCGGGGAAGCCCTGCGTACTGGTTGAGGCATGTTGAGGCAGCATGCCTTTTCCGAGCTGAGAGGTCCTGGCAAAGTCTCGGTACAGGTCTCGGAAAACTCGCTTGGTGGATGGCGGGTCCATGCAAAAACAGGCCAGCAGCGCCAGTTGCACCTTGCATCAGTTCACAAATTCACGCATGCATGACCCCGCAACTGCGAAGCTACAGCACCAACTCAGCACACCGATACCATAATTCTGGGAGAAACAATTACACCGAAGGCTTCACATGCTCGGGCAGATTCAAGTGAATCAAAGACTGTGACTTTGGTGTCGCCACCGCCATGTCGCAATTGGAACCATTCTGATGCTGCGCTCAACGGAATAAATACAGTGCACGCCTTTCTATATCGCACAGTCGACGTATGATGATGTTGCCCGAACTTTGCAGGACGGAACTCCGACGTGCAAGCAGCCTTCAATTGGGTAGGTTTTGCCAGTCAGCTGAGAAATGCATCGAAGCCAAGGTCATCAGGTCACACGGTCACACCAATCCCAGTCATAAGGCTAACGTGGACAGTAAGTATCAAGCATTTACTTTCGGTATAACTTGCCTGGAATATCCTGGAATCCTCCAGTACCCAAGCTTTGTCAAGAATCTTTCCACGGTTGTGTTCGTGGAAGGCTCAGTTATCAAATAAATCTATCTCCAGAGCAGAAAGCGTGGCCCACCCGGTGTTGAGAAGATCGCCAAAACGTGCTTGGTCAGGCACGAGGCGAGCGCGATCTCGACCTCAAAGGCAACAGAATGGCGGAGTCTGGCTTGCAGTCACTTAAAGGATAGAGTCGTGCAGCTCCACTATGCCAAAGTGGACGACCACATTACTCATATGTTTCTTTACAGCCCCGCCTGCGATGCATCTTTTGATCCGAGCTGGCTTCCTGGTGGCATTAACACGCCGGACGCGACGAAGGACTGTCTTGCACGAAAGCCTGCGTCCCGAAGAAGTAGGGGTCCAAGTATGGGTCGCAGATCGCTGACCTCGTTAGAGACTCGCTGAGCTTCGCTGAGTGAGCCGTGGGTTACCATGGGTTGGAGACGAGATGAGACGAGGCCGAGGCTCCTCGAAGGCGGGGGCCGGGCGGCGCTCCTGCGGACAAATAACGCTCTTCGCCTCGCCGCTTCGCCTCGGAACTTCCGCTCTCGTTCAAAGCACGCGGGTCCTCCGCCTTCAGCGCAGCACTGAGACGTTCCACAAGCCTCGATCTCAAGAGGACGCGGACACGGGCCGGAACTCAAGCTTCTGCGCTGGGCCGAGAGATGAGCGTAAACTTCTTGCCGCTTGTGTCCAATCCACGCCTGACGTCAAGCCGTCTCTTGTCCGCGAACCGCAAAGAGCTGCGTGACATTGCGTGACTGCCACATGCTTAGGTGCACACTCCCGGAGCTGTGCCTGCAGAGGCATGTTTAGGCTTGGACTGGCAGCATATGCACAGACCATGCGACGCAGAACGCGCTGCACTGGCCTGCAGCTCATTGTAGTCCAGATGGTTCAATGATCGGACATCCATCTCATGCCCCCGGTACTTTCAATTTCGTGCAACCACCTCTATTTTTTGGGAAGCTTTCCCCAGCTGCGGATCCTGTCAGTCGCTCTGGCAATCTCTGGCAATTCACCGCAGCGATCCGCTGCTTGGGGCCCGATGGTATTGCTTAGTGGGGCTATGTCGCTAGATCCAGTTGCACATGTCTTCGCTACGCCATTGCTTTGCTTCATGTACCACATGAATGATTCAACATGTGGCTGTCTGTCTTTGCTGCCTCTAGCTCCGAGCGCGGTCTCGACGAGGTGTCACATGAGCCGAGCTTTGTCCGGGCAAGAAACTTACAGCCTCTCCACAAACAAACTGCACACTTCCAGCTGGGTTTCAACCCGCCGCTCTGTACTTCGCATGCTGATTCGTCGCTACTGCACGGATGCTGCGTTGGACCTTGATGAGAGTCTACTCTATGACTACTTCTGTACAATCGATGCACTTGAAGCGCTTGCATGCATAGCGCTTCTCAGCATCTTCCTTATGATGGCCATGCATGACATGCCGACTGACTGATGCAATGTGCTGCAGCTGAGGCACAGGGTCACCGCATCTCGACGGTCGAGTTCGGACTGAATCTCGTGGCCTGGATTGTTTTCTGGGTCTGCTGGCCCGGTGCTCCGAGTCTACCGCGCCTGAGAAACCATGGCGTGCCCACTGACGAACCTTGCAGGCTTGCTGACTTGATGTGATGAACTGGCACGAGAATTGATTGAAGTGGCGGGTCCTCACGGAGCAGGTCATCGATGACATCTGCGGCGGACAACACCTCCGCGGAAGTGACGAGTCGGCTCCATTTATTTGCCTTTTGGAAGTCTCATTTGGCGACAACAGCGCCTGGAATCCGGCATTGAGTTCTCGCACCTGCTTCGCTCCCCAGTCTCGTTCACACAAGACGAGGGTCTGCATCGGATCGCAGGGAAATTTCTCAAGACGCGCCAGTGCATAAGCTGCATTGACGGTCTCCTTGGCTTTGGCAGCGACACAGCTCTTCAACTTCAAGGCTAATGAGGCTCCCGTCGCCGCGCCACGAAATGCCAGCAAGAAACTAGCAAGAGGAGTTGTGACATGCTTGTGCTTACATCCAGCTATATCCAGCTTCAGACTCTCTGCTGCTGAAGCTCCGCGGTGGACGGGTAGTGTATCAGCCTGTCTGCATCCCAAGAGGAAAACCGACAGATTCCAAGCTCTTCCTAGCCTGGGCAGCGGCTGGCCCATGGATTTTTGTATCCTGACAGCTGAGACCTGGTCCACCACCTGAGCTGTGTCACCTTGGTTCTCGTATATCCGCTCTATCTCTTCACTGTCCACTAGGCTTTCAGTTTGCCGGTCCGGTGCTGATCAAAGCCACAACTTGGTACCAGGCGCATCAGATGCGCGACATTCTGGAACCGTTCGGGGCAAGATGTCTCAAAGCAAAACGTTGGAAATGGATCATCTTGCGACGTAGCTGCAAGGACCTCATGACGAAGACAAATGCAGATCATGCCATCTTCAGCAGATTTTAAGTGAGGGTTTCAATTTCAACTCCAAGGTGCTGCAAAATCCAAAGCCCAGAGACGCAAACGCCTTGTCCGACGCACAACAGCTTGTGTCAACATGAAAGCACATGGAACGATGACAACACTACTATAACGATTGACTGAACCGCTGCCAAAATCGCTGTAGTATCGGCGCGTGGAAATCCACCAACACATCAGCTTCGCATCGAGACTGCACTCTTTCTCGGCAGGTGTAGCGGGCGCCTGCACCTTCTCGCACAGCTCAGTCACTAGCTGCTCACTTACAAGCAGTGCAAGCAGTCTTGACTGCGCGCATGCACGTCAAGAAGTCCTGTCACAGCCAGCTCGTGGCTATCACCCAGGTAAACCTTGCTTGACAGAGCTCAAGCACAGGAGGGAGACGTCTTCAAGCAGACGACAGCAAGACAAGCGTGCCAGCTCTACCCGCAGCAGACGAATCGATGCGACGTCGAGGCCTTGCTTTTGCAGGCTCTGCAGCACCACGGAGGATATAGCGCGGAAGGCATTGCTCGCTTGTGCCTCCATGCGGCGCAGCTTTGCCCAAGGACTACCAGGACCATATGCCACACGCTACGGTGAAGACGGGACAATGACAGGGCCCCACGAATGTTAAAGGAGGGCCCTACGAGTGCTACGCTCTGTGCGCTCAACTTCGCATTTCAGACTCTGGAGACCGGCGTCATAACCCAGTCCAACGCATAACTACCAGCACAGTCACAGTCTTTCGAGCAGCATTGCTAGGCCCAAGCTACATGTGCAAGAAAACAGAGACGACAGGCCCGCGACTACGAAAACACGAGACACAACGATGCACAGCGATGCCACGTCCCCCCGACTTCAGCCGCAAGAGCAAGAGCTGACCCAACTGCCCGATACAATTCGTTCAACCTGCTTTAAGTTTGGCACCTTGGAAAATCCACTTGGGTTGCTAATCTATGCCTACTCAGTGACAACACAAAGTGGGCAGGGTATCCCGAACGGCCGCCAACAGAACAATACAGATGGGGGAAACAAGTGCGCATATCGATGCCACAGCTATCCACAGCTTAATTGTGCACCAAGCTACGATTCCGATCTTTCGCGTGCGGCCAAAAAGAAGAATCTCCCGTCCTGAGTGTGGGGTTGAAGCATCAGAAACAAGATCCAAGAATCGCATTTCAGCATGCTGACACTAATCGCAGCGACTTGCAGCCTTTTATCAATTTGAGTTTTAATACTCTTCCAGGGGTGTCTTGGCAACCGGATTTCTGCCGGCCGAGATGCGTTCTGTTCCATCCACCTGGGATCAGGCACGTGCGCGGCGTCCCTGGGATCAGAGCAGCAAACAAGGAAAACCGTAGGCCTCGATGCACAAGATCTTCCTCCCAGACGGACCATCCAAGAGCCACGAGGGTTGGACAGCATCGCCCAGGAGAGGCTGCCAAACTTCCCTCGAGTCAGCAAATAGAAGCGAAGTCGAAACAGGGCAAAGCACAGCACATACACTGGGGCGAACGAGGCACGGCTGCCCCCAGAGCTTGGACTGGACGCCGAGAAACAACGGATATCTAAATCCAAGCGTGACCTTCTCCGCAAGCATTCGCATGCTGCTGGGATCCATAACGGGCAACACATGATACTTCCCTTGTTTTGATGCCGTGGTATAGGTGACGAAGGAGAAGTCACCACAAAGCCGAATGACACGCTCGTTGGCACCAGAGGACAGAGGAGGCTCTTCGCCGAGTCGAACACGCTCGTCAAACTGCTTCCTTGTATTCGTTGTTATTTGTGCAATCTGAAACAGTTGACCAAGCAATCCGAATCCGGCCGCCAGAGAACGTACTGCATGACACTGCCCGGCTTGCAGAAGTCTTGCGGCCTTATTTGCTGGATCCATAATGTGCAACACCAGTAGCTCCTCAGGGCTGTACCCCATTGCGTCAGCCACCAGAGAAGCATCCTGTGTTAACCACACGGCAGATGGCAAAAGCTGCTCTGCTGCATAGCGCAGAATGAAGAAAAAGGCAGCCGGATGTGAGAAATTCACAAAGAGCGTCGCTTCAATCATCGCAGCACCAAGTGTGATGCCTGTACAGATCGCCAACCTCTGCATCCCTATACGATCCGAAGTAGCGGCCACCACACTTTTTGCAAGACGCTGCGCGCGTTCTTGTGACCAAAGCCTGATACACTTTTCCGTGTCGGTCATGAACTCCGCATCGGCTGCAATGCCTGTGACTGAATAGGCGAGACATTGGCATGAAGAACGTTGCTAATGCACTGCTTCGACACCTGTGCACCCAAGATACGAGCATCGGGCAGGTGCATGACCAGCAAGTGGACAAATTCGTCCAAGTCGATCCTTCCATCAGAGTTCGCGTCTGCCCTGGCGATGCATAAGTCGATGTACTCCTTGTCAGGGTGCCTACAATTATAATAGTTGTGATCGCGGGTGCTATGCTTGGCTGCAGTTCTTTAGAGGGTTCCGGAATGAAACTTGCATTCCTGATTGCACTCGTATGCTGTAAAGTGCAAAGAAAGTCCGTGGTGCAGGGTCTCAGAGTCCGAAACGAGACATCAATGAGCGGCCTGTACTTCATGCGGAGGTTCTAGCATGCTCTGGCGCCCCGGCTCGGCTTTAGTTAACTTTAGTTCGAGGGCGGGGGGATAGCTGTTTGCGGCCTGCAGGGCCTAGCCCTATGGCTGGCAGTAGGTTATGATGAAAGCTTCCCCGAAGTTTTTTCTTTCGGCTTGTTTCAGAAGTGACCTGCGACTCCCCCTCCATAGCTTGCTGCCATGAGCTTCTGCCCCTTGACTGTCTCTTGTGCTTGGGGGGCGGATCTGCTCATACAGGCAAAACATGAGCTTGTACGGAAGGTGCCGAGCGCTTGCCAAAAAACCGCCAAGCACAACGATTCCAAACGATGCCATCAAGACTCTTCTTCCAAACTGTCATGTGCCGTGCATGAAGTGCCCGGGAAATGATCCGCTGTCTAAAAGTCGATCAAAGATGCCCTACCATGTTCTATTCTACGCACTCTTCAATGCAAAGTCCTCGGTCAAAGCCCATGTGCTCCCTGTCTCATCAACCTGCCATCCCGATGAACGCATAAAATCACATAAACATTGGCTGATTCGCTGCGGATGCAGAACTCTTTTCAGAAAGTGTGCGCGCTTCTCCCTGCCTGCAAGTGCTGAATCATCAAGGTCTTGACTTCGTGTAAATCAAGATATCCGTTGTTGTCTTTGTCGGCCGCCTGACGAGGAACCGGAGAATTGTGCGAACCAGATCTGTTTGGGCGGTCGCGTGGGTTAGCAAGTAGATAACAGGTTTAAGAGGTTTGTACTTGAGGGCGATGTAGTTATAAAGGAGTTATAAGTGTGCCATGTATACAGATATGTCGTGTAATCGTTATGTCTGAATTGATACGTATAGATTTTTTTTGCCTCCTACATGGCTGAGCGAGTCGCGAATTGATACGTATAGATAGTAAGCGAAGTGAAGAAAATAATATGTTGTGTTTTCGATTGTTTGAGTTATTAAGTGTGCCTTGGCATAAGTTGCATAAATTTGGCATAAATGACTTGGGCAACATCGGGTTTTTAAGAAAATCTGGTTTTGCGTGTGTTTTAAAGGACAATGCATGCTCTTCCTGGGACTTCCACGAGACGGGCTCCGGCAAATCGGTACCTCTGGCTCGCTTGTGTGAGCTGATGGCAAGGGCTGAAGTTTCGGCAGCCAGCTGCCATGAGCTATCATGAGCTGATCGACGAGATCATCGATGTCGGCTACGTCCAGCGACCAGATCCGGGCGATAGGCTGCGAGATCGAGTCGCCCAGCATTTTGGCCTTCAACGATCACCTCGTGGCCACTGCAGGCGGAGCACTGAAAGTGATGCATTCCGAGAAGCTGAAAATCTGTTCCCTCAGTGCCAGCCACACGAATTTCCCCTTCGGATACTTCGTGTACGAAGCTCCTCACGCAGAAGGCCAGGTCACCCGCAACGGGAAGCTCAACTTGCAGCTCCTGCAGACCGTTGACGGCGCCTTCCACAACAGGCGGTGCAGGAGGGCCTGTGTGGGATGTCATCGACAAGAAGGTCGCCTTGGCATTCCCTTCGCTGCTGTCGGCCATCAGCCGGTCTGCCAACACCTCGCTTCAGCGAGGGGAGCACGAGCTCCAGGTCATAAAGCGAGCTGCAGAAGGACCCTGCAGCATGTGCGCACCCTCCTCCTGACCCAGAAAGTGGGTATGGGGGACTCCTGGTCGTGGATGCGGGGCATCCATGCACAGAGCTTCGTACAGAGGCTGCTGTGCCTGAAGATGAGCTTCGAGGTGGCTTCTACGCTCAGCGAAACCCTGCAGAAGGGACCCTGGAGCACGCAGTAGCTCCGACTGATGGTTGAGGCCATCAACGAGGCAGCGAAGTCTCCTGGAGTCAAAACCACAAGACCCAGACCCAGACCCAGACCCTGCCGGACGTCGGCCAGTTTCTCAGTGTTGGGGACGTCCGTGTCGCGGGTCGCGAATTTGGAAGCTGCACACCGTGGCGGAGCGATTGGCCAGGATCGGCTGCTCCACCCCCTCGGAGCAAAGTCTCGGCCGAGTTCTGGACAGCTTGAAAGTTCGGGTTCTCGAGGCCCTTTTACGACCCGAAGCTGGAACTCCCAGGGCAGCTCCGTCCCGGTGAAAGATCTGGAAATACGGAGACTCTCCGAGAGATCTACGGCTGAGGTGAAGCGAGCAGCTTACGACGAGGCGGACCTGCCGACCTACCAGGACGTCGAGGTGGCGCCTCGCACCTGGCCTTTGCGAAAGTCTGCTTGGTTCTACGAGAGCAGCCGGCAGGCCGCATGGTGGAGCTGTGGGTGGATCGTGCAGAGAGCCAGTCGGAGATGCGGGAAGCTTCGAGGGAGCTCAGGAGTTTGAAGACCTCCTTGCTGCAGCCGGCGCAAAACACCCCAGCTGGTGCAGAGTCTCGCAGCTACAACTGGTGCCTGCAAGCTCCTCCCAACAACAGTTGCTGCCTGCAGCGACTCGGACTATATAGAATATGCTTTCTGTTTTTTTGGTCCAGACAGTATTCCAATTTTAAAAAGGTGTTTTCTTTTTCCCTGCCAGGCCGGCGGTGCACGCGACTGCTGCTGCTGCGCCGACTGCGACTGGCCAGGACCTGCAGGGTGCTCCACCTTTCTCTCCGGAGGAGCCGGCGAGAGGAAGCAACAGGCCGAGGCAAGACCGAGACCGGCAGCAAGAACCGGGGTCGAGGCGGGTCGGAGCGGCAAGCTCCCGTCCCTTTGTGGCCAGCCGGGAGGCCCTCCACAGAGGAGGATATCAAATACTGCTTGCTCACCCCCCACGGCCCATGAGCCCTGCAGGCGAGCTGAGGCCCTGCCCGCGAGCTGTAGGAGATCAGAAGAAGCAGTGACACAGCTTTCGGAAACCGAAACCTCTGGCCCCCAAGCCCGTTTCACCTAGCTCTGAGGCTGCTAGCACACACTCCGACTTCACCCAACCGATGTCTGAACCGAGTGGAGCCGTTCACATTTCAGAGGTTTATGGAATCATGCCACTGGTTCCCTGCAAACCTCACTTTGCGATGTTGCAATAGAAAACCCGATTTGACGTACTACACTTACATACCTGCAACAAGTGTAAACATAAATCACAAGTTGCGTATTAACTTACTCATCTATATAGTAGCCAAGTGGTCTTGCTGAAACACACTTGGGCAAGAATTTGCATCTCGAAACTGTCGAGACTTTGGAGGATTTGGCACACGTGGCAAATCCTTGCCTGGAACAGCTGCCGATAGGTCTCCCGCCACTTTTTTGCTGCCTTGGCGCTTTCGCTACAGAAGCACGCGACGTGCCCAGCCCGAAGTCAGGAATCGAAGTTGTTTTGGAAAAAAGAGCTTCTTTTCGAAACTGCACAGTGATGCTGAGAAACAACCGTCTTGGAGACATCCGTGAAGCTCCGCCAGCCAGGTCGTTTCAAGAGCCGGCGCAGCGGAAACAAGCTCGACAAAGGCATGCATCATGAATCAGCTGCCGCTGCGCTCAACTTCTGATTGACTTCGGAGGCGCCATGAGCTTCGGAAGCGGCAGATTTCCCCACGACGCGTTCCATGCAGAATGAAACTTCCCAAGAGGACACGCGCCGAACCGAATGGTGTCTACAGTATGTCAGTATGTGCTGCCTACGACGACCATCTCGAGACTGGGGTGAAGCATCTCGAGAACTTCAGTCTGTCCACAGCAAGATGTTCCACGCCACGCGTTTACACCTTGAGAGGCTATAGGCATGCTCGCAGGCGAAGTTCAATTGCGCGGCTGCGGGCAATCATGCATGGATCTGCTTGGCCATTCGATGCTCCCTGCAGGATGCCTTGATGCTCATTTTATCTCGCGAAGAACACGTGGCTCAGCGCCATGACCAGCACTGACGAAAGCGCCACCAAGCCAAATCTCCATAGGTTGGCACATATCCTGCCAACATCTGCCAGCACTGCCCCTGTGCCTCTTGAATGCCAAAGTTTCACAGACTAAAACAGGTGCCATAGTTGCTCCAAGCGGGCTTTTCTGTGTCTACTGCAAACCCGTCCTGCCACCACGTGCTTTTTGTAAGCAGGTCCAACATTGAATAAGCTTTGCAAGGCTGCGCCCGACCTTGGAAAGCTAAGCTTGGGCTTGAACACAGTGCGTTGTCGATGGCTTGGACTTACCAGCGCCTTAGTTCCAAGCACATTTGGCAAACATCTCCAAGCCAGGTGAGAGAGCCGGTGGCTTCTGGTCACCGGTGCCGTGGCCCGAAACTTGCTTCTCCTTGAGCTGAAAAGCTTCACAGAAAAATGCTCCAAACTTGTAACATGTTGTAACTCGTCCGATCGTTGTTTGAAGCATCGGCCTCGGCCTGGGCATGTTCGGCAGGCCCACCAGGTTCCTGGCATAGACTGGAACAGCATGCAGGTTGCGCATGCATGTTTCGACGCATGGTAGAAGCTTCGCAAGCCTAGGAACGAGCAGAGCGCGCTGACCGACATGGTGAGTTACTGAGGGCCCCACTTTGTGCAGCAGCTCTTTGCATTTGTGAAGACAACTTCGGATCTCCGTACCTAGAATCTTGACTTGGCTTGCTTGATATGGTGAAACGGCCGGTTTCAACAAAACATGCAAAACAAGAACGGCACTTGTCGGCATCAATCGTGCCGCTTCCCGCAAGTCGTCCAAGGAACTTTCCAGATTATGTTCCGGACCTACAAGAGTGTGCCCAGACACCGCAGTGGACGCACAATCGCGGCGACGGAAGCAAGCATCCGAAGTGGCACAGGTGCGCACTCTCAATGTAAGCATGTATGTATGCATGTATGTATGTGCACGCGGCTAATTTGCTGTGCACATATCGGCGGCAATACGATTGTTCTAAATTATCGGGTTGTGACATGGCTCTCTGTTGACTTGTGGATGGGGTTGGAAGGGTTGGATTAACGGTGGCCGATCGCCTTGTCGGAAGACTACAAATCTGTAGCACCGCCCCGGATGCTGAAAAAAATGAACCGGGGTCGCAATGATAAAGCATATTCCGCACCTGGCTTTTGTTGGTATGTTTGCTCGTAGCACAACTCGGCTTTCTCATCCTCAGGGTGTAGAGGCCACTCCAAAACCACACTAGCAAGATAGCAAAAGATCGTGAAGCATGTCGAAGCAGAGTGCAAATGCACCACCAGGACTGTTTCCGACACCGGCACTTGAGATGTTCAAGGCATTTTGTTCGCGCTTTTTCGGGTCACTTCCGGCCTGGCTCCGCCAGTGCAAGAGCTCTGCGGTAGCGAAGCTTTGCTTTGAACCTTGGCCCATGCCTAGATCTTCTGCCCCTGCAGGGAGCGGCTAGAGCGCCGAGGGCCGTGCGGATCTGCTTCGTCGCCGGGCAGCTTGTTTACATTTCGCAAGCCCAGGTGTGCTGCCTGACCACAGCATCGCAAGCTTCGCATGATTGCATCGTGTCTGCGACTAGGTGTGGCTAAACTTATATACACGTGAAACATTGAATGGTGAAGTCCCTTCGGCTATTGAAGCTGCAGTTTTGAGTAGAAAGCACAGCAGAGCGGTTTGCAGCAAGCGCCTTGACAACATTGCCAAAGTCGCCTCTTTTCAAGAAGACTTGCGCCAGGTTGCTGAGAACTGGCAACAGTTCTCGGGCAACAGCAAGCCTGTCGTCAGGCGAGCATAGGCAAACCAGGATGAACGAAGCCAGCTCCAGAAGCAGAATGACAGTTTACAGCAACACCTTGCATGGCCTCTGCTCATCTGTCATGTCCATCTGTTCGTGCGGAGTGAAATCCACCGCGTGAATGGCCTCTGCGCAACCCGGGGGCCGCACATCCGGCACTAGACTCTGGCTCACTACGAGGAATTACGTGGAAACGGGTGGGGTGTTGATGGTGTTGAGGTCAGGTACGAGTAGGCATTCGGGCTTGCGGGAGGCAGGGGTGCCTCTGCTTCTGTTCGAGGGCAACGCCCGGGAGCGCATGTCTTTTTTCTTCTGCTGTCGTCGCTCTCGGCTTTTGTGGAGATGCCATGCCAGTTTCAAAGTTCCTACAGCAACATCCAAAAGAAATGCGCCGATAACGTCTGAGAAGCTGGCGCCCAAGTTGCAGTGCAAGGCCCTGCGAAAGTCATCTGACCGATACCTCATGCATGCACTGCGTTTATTTACGCTTGTCAGAAGTTCGAGGTACCTCGATTTGACTGGACAACAAAGACAACGCAATGCGTGCCAGCATCCTTAGCCCTACACCAATCCAATCCACATCCGTACCATTCCGTACAGTACCCATCCCTGCGCCTACCAGCCAGCACACACACACACTCAACTCAGAAGCGCACCACTTGTTGCCGAGCTCGCGCAAGCGGTGTGCGTGATGCACCCTGTCCTGCATGGTCGATGCAGTACATGCGCCGTCAACCTACTCAAGGCCATGGATGGCAGGGGCATGCCATGGCGTCCTGAAAGTCCTCCGGTCGGCTAAGGCCTTCTTCGAGCAGCCAGTGCAGCAATTGCCGGTGCTCGGCATCTTCCTGCGGTAGTGGAATCTACTGAGTCCTAGTCCTAGATAGTCCTAGCTGCACAGTCTTCAGGCTCGTCCTCACAGAAGCTTCGCAACCAGTGCTCCTTGCCTGCACTTGGCACTGGGCCCGTGTGTTCACCCAGAACGGCAACGTACTGGTTTCTGAAAGACTGCGGGCCGTGATTGAACAAAGCCCTCGAAAAGTGGAGGAAGCTCACCGAGCTCCCTGCGCATCTCACGCTGCTTGAGGAACTCTTGCTTTGATGCATCAGAAGGCAGCGACATGCTGATGCTCTAGTTTGTGCGCACGGCCTGCTTGAGAAGTGCAAAATTCGAATCCACTCATAAGGAGTCAAAAAAAAGGAGCTGGAGCTGGCTGCAAAAGCGACTCTTGCTGATTCCCTTCTCCAAACCTTCTCCACTTGTTGAACCGAGAGTAAACGGTACTGTCTCCGCACGCATCATACCAGTGAGTCGGCACAAACGCCATGCTTGTAACCATCCTGCCGGAGATTAGGGTGGACCACCAGAAATGCCTGACACATACCCCTGCGCGCTGCACAGCGCGACGAAACGAGCGCGGGTGTCCTTCGTCAACAACATCCCGCAGAGGCGGGTCTGCCGTCCCGGCTTCAAACCCGAGAAACTGCCAAAGAGCCCCCAGCATTGGGAATGGGGTCGGGATTCCCTAAACCCATTGCTTCATAGCCCGGCTCCTTCTGAGAGCCTATGATTGAGGACACGGCGAGAAAGAGTGCCGACGTGCCACCCAGGCACCAAAAAAACGGGACCCCTCAAGCTGCCTTCAAGTTAAGCGACGTTTGCAATTGAGTTTCTTGTGGGCACATGGCTTCCAAAAGACAGCGGAGATGTGAGGGCAAAGGCCAATCTGAAGCATTCTCTGCAAATCGGTTAGCAAACACGGACCGGTCTGCTTTCATGCTAGCTGCTAGAAGAGCATGCTACACAATCGTGCGACCCCCAATTGCAAGGACCAGGCTTACCTTACTTCTCCGAAAACAGTTTTCTTCTATCTGGCTTGCCATCGATACTCAGATACAACAAGATCAACGAAAACTGGGCTCATGGAGCACCCTGTGGCCATTGATCCACTGTTGCATGCAGTTGTGCAACAGCTCGTGGCAGGCCTGTATCGAACCAGAAGCAGATTGAGGTAGGTACAAACATATACACACCATCATATGCTCGTCGATTGCAGCAGTGGCAGGACCATTCTATTCAGGGCTCTGCTCACCCCAGATGTTACAGCGCTGTTTCTTGCTAGCTCTGCATCACCATGCCGAGCAGATCCCTGTTGCTAAAGCCTACGGGTGTTTGGCACCACAGAAATCCTGTACAGGGTTGACTTGGTCCCATCTGTGGAGCTTCCTGTGCCTACGGTGTGAAACACCTCTTCACGGTCTTGCATTTGTGCGACGCCGTTCGTTTAGACATGTTTACATGTTTCCGTACTTCTTACGCTCTTAGAAATTACACTCTAGCTTCTCCATTCCTTCTCCCACCTCATGGCCAGCAGCCGCATCACGCTGCTAGACCAGTCCGAGCTCTTGCCGTGCCTGCGGCCCAGAGATGCCGAAAGGCTCCATTAGGGGCCTCCATGAGCGGTTCTGTTGTATCTGGTGGTATTTGCACATGCTCGAAGTTCTCGCTAGGGCTGCAAGCACAACGACGGCCCAGCAAAGCACAAGATCCCTGCAGCGACCTCTCGAGCTGCGCGAGACGCAGCTTCGTTTGGCGCCTGTCGTGACAGAGCACGTCGAGAGGCCCTACATCCGACTCTGCTGCTTGTGTCACAATAAGATCCCAGCCATACCCTGACCACGATAGCTTGCAAAGATGTCCTGTGCGGAAGGATGCTGCGATGCCCTGCAGAACGAACTCGTTGCAAGGACGGAAACGCAAAGCATTTAGCATGATTCGGCCAGCCTTCGTTCGCTTGTCCAAGAGCCTTCTGGCCTGTCAGCTTGCAGTACGTCCGCAGAGCTGACAGACTCACGATGTCTGGTAATCCGTGCTGCCAATGTTCAGTCGACTTGACATCGGTCTGTTTCGATCTTTGAGCCTCCGCAGTGTTGCCTTGCGGGGAGGTCAACGAAAGGCGGATGGCCTGACGCCACAAGCGGCACAGCCTAGGGCAAATGTGCACTGCGCGAGTGATGTCCTCAAGTCTACAATGAGTCTACAACCTCTGTTCATCAATTTGCAGCTCTGAAATGTGCCTTCTCGTGCTGCCTTTGCCTGTAGATGACAAACATCTAGCAAACCTGCGGAGCCTGCGCCAGGTCATCGTCATGGGACGACAAACACCCATCCTGCCGGCCGAAACATGAATGGCAGCCAGACTACGGCAATGGACCATGTACTGTTGCAGAGCTGCAACATTCTCCAGAGGGATCCCAAGCTGGCAGGTCCACGGCTTCTCTTGGGTCTGTAGGGTTAAAGATTAAGTTGCACGGCAGGCGGGTTGGATTCAGGATCGTCGGACATATTCACTCCGAGTTACATTCCCGCTTGCTCCAGAAGTGAGACCCAGAATGACAAGTTCCGAATCCTTCAAGGCAAGCCAGCCCCTTTCAAGTTGCTGCTTCGGATCAAGCGTTCCAGCTCACTCCCCAACACCTCTAATGCAGCAACTGTTACCATCTCCTGTGTCGATCGCACGTCTTTGTCAGTGCAGCTTCAAGCTGCAGAATGCTACTGTAGGAGTCTAGGTTTGGGGCAACGAACCAATCACAAGCATGTTCGGACCGTTGGTTAAGACAAGAGAGCTTGCGAGCGAGTGCCACGCAACCAAGTTCCAGGCCAGTAGCAATGGCATGTGCACCTTGACAAGAAAGAGCTCCAGTTGTTTGGCTCCCGCATGGCATGTCTCGAGCACTCACTTAGCAGTTGGTTCAGGTCAGACCGCCACGGTTGAAGACCAACTCCAGGGGTCGAGCGTCGTCCACGTCGCACGAATCATGTTCAGGAGCCATGTCCAACGGCACCTGAGCACACAATGATTGTTGAAGCCTGTCACTTCGAAGAAATGCTGAGCTTGCCAAACGGCAAAGAAACGGCAGAAATTTGGAAAGACAATCTGATCGCCCGCTGCTAATGCAATTACAGGCGCCATCTGCGGCTGAATGCTTGCGGAAGAGAAGCCAGCTTGAGGGCCTGAAGGTTCATGCTCTCTGCGATCAGAACTTGCTGAAGAACTCAGGGAAACTGTTTAACTTAGACGCGAGCTGAAGGTCAGAGCCAAAACCAATCGTTGGCTGTACCTTATCCGGCAAAGGAGCAGTTCCACTTCACCATTCTACGCCGGGCTGGCTCGACTTGGACTTTGCACTCGGCGGGTCTTAAATTGCAAGGGGACAGCCGATCCCAAAATTCAACGGAGTTTGGGCCTGGGGCTTGGAGCCTGTCATAACATCATTTCGGTATTGGCTATCGAAGATGAACCGTGAGAGTCATAATCAAGTTCTGCCGAAACATATCTTCTGAGTCTCCCCCTTTTGCCAACTAGCACAATCCACAGCTGAAGGCCAAAGCCCAGAAGACAGCAGCAAAGGGTCGCATGCATTACCGATTCAGGGGAAATTTCTCCTGCGATTCATCGCAAGCGGCAGCCTCCGTGCCTCACATGATACAGCCTGGAGTGTGCTGTTGGTGGTGCTCGAGTTCAGCTTCTGGGTCGAGCACCTGTGCTGCTGCACCCGAGTTGTTAGTCAGTGGTGCCTTGACCTTGGGCCTGGCAAGCCACCGCCCTCCAACTCTACTCCCTTTCTTCCTGTGTTTCTTCTTCGGCTCTGTCGTCGAACTCTTCGACATGACATGGCCGGTTGGTGAGCTGGTGGAAAAACTTTGAAGGGAGGCAGGTGTCTGTGGGCTCCCTCCAGTGACGGAGCCAGCAAGGTTGCCCTTCTGTGCAGGGGCAGGTGCTGTGCTGAGTGTACGTATCGCGACACATGGCCTTAAAGGCCGTGCGGTCGGTCAGGCAAGATCAAACAACCGGCAGTAACGCATCAACAGTCTGTTGTCTGCATTACTCCGTGTATGTGTCATCCGCGGGTGGGCTGCAAGTCCCCTTGTCGAGCGGGTCGTCCCAGTGCACAGTGAGCTTTTTTGAAAAAAGCGGGTGCCGCCACTGCCACGACCATGTGAAGTCGTGCCACTCCAACATCTGCCTCGTTAACTCCCAAGTGGTAGAGCATCGAAAAGCTTAGCAACGAAAGGGGCAACATACGGGTCTTAACACTTAGAGCAATTACCGCCCACATAATGACAATAAATATGGAATGTCTTAGGTCGCAGACTTTGCATATGTAGACCATTGTAAACCTAAGAACGTTCTGGTCGCAGTTGTATCAAGTTGTATCATCATTATTTTCCGGGCGTCCCCAAGAAAAGGCATCCTTGAATCCAGGAGCCATGATGCGTTTGGTTGAAACTGGGCATTTGTATTGGTATCTAGGTTGTTTCGCGCACGAATCTAGCATGGCTTGCTTCATAGGGCCAGGCTATATAGCTCCCAATATTTGTGTCAGAGTAGCTTTACCTGCCACTTTCATCCATGTTGGGGAAAACGGTTCAATGCAATGATGGCGGTGACTCCGTAGGACGCCCAGTACTGTATGATTTGTGCAGCGCCGAAGGCCTTTCATCTGACATGCACTGATTTTGTTCAGATTTGCTTGTGCGAGACGTAACCTTCAAGTCGAAAATAATGTATGAATGACTCTTGTTTTTTTCACTGCGTTTTGAACTGTAAACAGTACCTGGGGGGTTTTGCATGTGACGGTACTGTTTCATCCGCATTTCGGTTCTATCTGGCTGCACGACTTGCGAACCCAGGATCTGAAACTAACGCGTCAGTAATACTGCAAAACCTTGAGTATCAGCATGATAATGTCTCAAAAGAGTGGTGCAAACATCCTCTGCTGAAACGTTGTCCTGAGAACATCTGGAAACTACAAGGTCTCAAAAATTAAAAGCAAAGAACAAAAAAGCAACTGTGAGGCTTCCGCGTGCTTGCCAGGCCGGATATGCTTAGGAGATCTTAGGAGTATCGGAGTAGGCCCATGGCACAGGCACGTGCATGCACGGTATGCTGGGATCACAGACGGTGGAATGCGAACAACGATGCCCTTCTCTCCACGGGAGAAGCTGCATCCCATTGACCTCAGTTGTAAAGGCTTCTCGGCCTGGTTTCGGACCGCACAAACAGCGCAATCTGCTCTTAAGGGTCTGAGGCTGCAAGCTCGGCCGCATCGGCCTGCCAGCTCAGGATCCGCACCCTACAGCTTGCACGCATGGAGCCATACGGAGCCTGCACAGCAATTGGGTTCGGCGATGAGTTCTCAACCTGCTGGCAAACAGACACCTACTTTAATCCATTCGGCTTGAGGTCGTGCAATTAATCAATCTGCGAGGAGGTGGGAGGGGAGCCGCGAAGACTGTCATGCAAAAAAACCCAAAGCGTCAGGTTGACTTAGAAACAGTCATGATCACTCATTCACGAACCACCGCCGCAAGGTCCTGGCTGTCGGTCGATTCTTCTCAACCGAAACTACCCCTTTTGATGTCAACAGGTACCATAAAAAGTTCGCATCTGATTCATCTAAGCATCCCGCAACGAAGTTGCAGCCGCCAGGCTCGAACTGGTGCCTCTGCGCCAGGCCCAACCAAAGAAACGAGCTGAGCAGAGAGTCCATGCGAGTGAGAAAAAAAGTTGGTCAGGCGTGCAGAACCTCACAGGGCAGAAGTTGCAAACGTGCTGGAGTAAACCGGTTCTGGGCAGCTGAAACTGGGTCAATGGCACGGGCTTGGCATTTCGCTCATGTCAATCCCCATGCTAACAGCTGCTACCAAGGGTTTGCCCGGCATGGAGCTGACAGCACTGAGAGCTGATCCTGTACTTGACTCCAGCGCAGTGGGGATGCGACCAGCCTCGACACGCAGCTGAAACTTGTGGTAGCCTGGTAGCAGAGCATCATACCGCAGCTACTGCTATGCCAATGCCAGTCTCAAAGCTCCCAGCTGCGACCACTCTTCTTGATTGCATGGCACAAGCCTGCAGCGACCTCGGAGACTGCAGACGCTGCAAGCTTGCAAAGCGGCTCCGTTCAAAGTCCTGGGCCCTGGGCCTGTTTCCAAGAAGACTCGATGCGTGTGAGCCGAGCCCGCTTCACGGAGTGAACTGCCAAGACTCCCTGTCAGAGCGTGGAGCCGCTAGAGTCCGCCAGAGCCGCTCGAACTGGTGCGGCGGCACATCGCAGAGCCGGCTGTCCTGCCTTCCGAGGAGCGACGTCCTGGAGCTTCGCCAAGGAGATCGGGACAATCCGGTATTGGAAGCCTGCCTCTGGTCGCCAGGCAGTGACGCAGTGATCCGACACCGCAGCTCGATGCCTCCAGGATCACTTCCAAACTGACCTGACGACCGTTCCAAGCAGGCACATTATTGAGGGATTGCTCTACCTCTTTCTTTCTCCCTCCCCTGAGATCCGGATTTGAGTCCACCCGCAAGGAATTGATTGGGCGTGCTTGGGCTAATGCATTCACAGCTCCGGGGCCCCAGCGCAGTCATCGAAGGAACGTGGAGCCGCATCCACAAGTTCGAATCTGAGCGGTCTTGGCCCATTTGACACAGGTTCATCAAGAGGAATGCGCTCCAGGGCAACAGCCCATCGCAGCCATCACTACCTGGCGAGGGATTCGCTTGCCGTTTTGCGGCAAATGCCCGTGAACCTGCAGAACAATTTGCAAATCTCTCAGGATGAGGGCCTTGAAGTCGCCTTGCAAGTCCACCGTGTTGGTTCACAGCACTTCACAGCACGTGGAGCTTGCTGCATTGTTCCAGTCTCTGTATGTCTCCAGTCGCCAGCTGAGCCCCAGTCAACACAGCAAGACCCACATCCAGATTGGTGCAGTGGGCACCTAACCTGAGTGAAAGGAGATCTGCTCGACTGAGCTGGTGACATAGAAACCTCCGTTTTCGGAATCCGGCGCACCCTCTCGAACAAGATGCCTCTCCTTCAGGTTCGCGGATGGCAGGTGCCGTTGGCGCGAAAGGGCTGAAAGCACTAGCTGGGCGTTGGTTGATACGGGATACTGCACATTGATGGTGATGATCACAACGTGCTTGCGCAATTGAGCCCGCGGATAAGTTTACAACGAAGTGTAATGATCGGACCTCCGGTGGTTCAGGTCCACAAGGACCGCAAACCACGGCCAGCTCGGAGAGCCGGGTGCTCCACCACCACCCCCACGACTACTACCACTGCTGCTGCTACTACTGCTGCTGCTACTGCTACTACTACTACTACTACTACTACTGCGACTACTACTTATGTGCACAGCCTTGTTACGTTGACTATATTGTCAGTGAAGTGTTAGTGACATTCCAGATGT